AATGTTAATTTGTGAAGTTAACATAAATTTGACACGTGAAAAGATTAAAAAAATAATAACATATCAGTATTATGTTAATTTTACATTGAAGTAATAATCAAAACGTCGTAACACAAGAAAAGTTCTACATTTTGACGCACGATTTTTTACTGTGTAAACATGAAAAACACATCGCTGATATTTTTATTAATTAACGTTCTTCATCAATGTCATCATTTTATCCGTCTTCATTTTTGCGAGTGTCGCACATTTTTCTCAAGCTGTCGATGTAAATGTGACGTGCTTCTCTTGCTCGTACTATAGTGTTAAGTTTCGCATTATCGCATCCCGACGGTGTCGCATTTTATCAACCTTAGTTCCTGAAAAAAGAAACTACTTTAACGTCCGAATCGCTCGGCTCGGTATCGTCTTCAATGCAATTCCGATCGTAAAATGTAGAGCGAAGTGCGAGAGATGCAAGGTGCGAGCATGAGAATAAAAAAGTTTCTTAATTTTTCGCTTTGAAAAAACTATCCAACTCCAGTCGAATAAAAAAATAAATATCTCATAACGTTTTGTTTCGTGTAAAGATTTATAGATTGCGAAATGAAATTCACGTCTAGCGATCAATATTCACAACGATGAAAGATTTACGGGCCGACGTTCTCGAACCAAAAACCAATATATTTGTTATCGCGAGTTGTTGGGAAATTCCAATGCATACAGATGACTATTCAACGCCGAGAAAACAATGGAAATTCCAGGTGACAAATATCTCAATTGCGCGGCAGCACGCAATTCGTGTGTACGGGCTAACTTCCTGTGTGCTCATGCATTTAAGTACACATATTCAAGTACATGTAGTAAGTACGTACACAACAGTGCACATCTTCTGGTGCACTTGTTAGACTCGTATGGAATTCCGAGCGACTTACGCATAGTACACGAACACTTACGTGTGTTGTCATTCACCGAGCAACATTGCACACATGCCTTTTCATCAGTAGGTTACCTACTCGTGCATGTACGTTGACGTGCCGCACGTGCTGTGCTCGCGGTAAGACGATCATCTTAATAGTTAAGACACAATCAACTGTTATTTTTTGTGGGAAAGGTCACGTTTTATAAGACAGGTAACGTGTTAACTCGTATTTGATTGTGCACTTGCTTCTGCACACGCTCGTTTTAGAACTTTTCTTCTTTTGCGAATATTTAACGTTTCTATCGCGGAATGTATCTTGTTAACGCTGTCTACTCTTGAAAATTTTGTAAATCTTCGTAAGATTCTGTAAAATATATATCTAAGATTTGCTGTTGCCAGTTTATTATCTTATCTATCTTGCGCATTCGCGAAATCGCTGCGCGTACATTGGTCGACACCTATTATGTTTGCTAATCAATATTCTCTCACTTGCCGTAGAAGTTAGAAAGAGTCGTGGTGCATTTGGATTTTGCATGCACGCAATTTCTAAATTTACATCACGTTTCTCATGCGTTATTGTTCGAAGGTAAAATCACGTAACTCGAAGATGCTCGTGAAAGTCTTTACTTGCAATCTTTTTTTTTTTTCTGTACCAACAAATTCTCGTAATTCTCAGTGAAAGCGGATTCCGCGACTGGTCGTCCTTGAACTGCTGCAAGAATCGATACTTTTATCGTTGTAAAATTAGTGATCGATTACGAAACACGCTCATAAAAATTTATAAATGTTTAGCCATCTCGTAATAATTAACAGTTTCTGATTACTAACTGATACTAATGATTTATCTCCTGTGATATACGTCTCGAGTTATAAATCTCCGATGATCGCTAAATTAAAACTATTAAATATTTGACGCAATAATAATAAGATTACAGAGATACATATGTTTAAGATTAGAGAGATCTATTGTTCTCTGCATATATGTGCGTTTGTAATTTTGTAATTGTATAAAACACGCGATCTTTCTTCACAGAGATTCCGTCACGGTGTCTCGAGCGATTCTCACACGCTTAAAATCTCTGCCCTTCAAAGTTTTTATCTCAAACGAAGCGGTGACACATCGTTCTATCGCGTGCAAATAGATACGTGTCTCTTCGCGCAAACAGAAAAAAGAATAACAAACAGAACAAACAAATAGAAAAACCGTATTAAAAATTGACGATTGTTTATCTTTCCCATCGCAAAACAATAAAGTTAGTTTCTGAACGAGTCCGCGGCGATCCGTTCGAGAGAGATATATATATCCGTGAAACACGAGCGCATCTGTCATTTCGTTTTCTGCTTTCAGTCCGGCCAGCCGAGAGGCTTAGAAAGCTGAATGGATACTTTGACGCCGTCGCTCGCAAGAATACGTGGAATATCTGCGCTATGGCTTCTTTTGTCGCTATTACCCGCCGCATTTGCTTCCTACAGTATCGGCGTGGGAAGAGCTGACAGCACGGGACCCGCCGCGGAAATTGTATTCGTTAGTATCAGAGCAAAGTTGTGTGTTAAAAAAATTGATACGCGAAGTAACGAAAAGCGCAAAATCAATTTATTTCAACAAAAGACAACTAAAATACACAGAGAGAGAAAGAATTCAGAGAAAATTCTTAGTAAAAATTTTGTCATCGATTAGATTGACGATGTAATTAAAACAAACAATGAGAAATTTGAAATGTACTTTTTGTAACTGCTGTTTGTGCCTTTTAGATGGGATACGCGAAAATGGATCAGAAAGGAAACGGTATTCATCTCCGCACGTTTTCCAGGGCTTTTATTATTGACGATGGCGAGGAGAGATTCGTGTTCGTCAGTGTGGACAGTGCGATGGTAGGCCACGACATTCGACAAGAGGTAACGTATATTCATTTTCTCAATTATGCGCACCATCTGTTTCTCTCTTGTCGCAACACATAGACATTTAATTATCGTTGAGGATTGCTAATGCGATCAAATTTCAACACAAGTGTTGACATAAATGCGTACAATAAGATACGCGAATTTGGTTACAAACTAGTGTTAGCATTACGACATCTTAATCAACGTTCTTGTGATTGCAGGTACTGCGCAAATTGCAATCCCAATTTGGCGATTTGTATACGGAGAGGAACGTGATGATTAGTGGCACTCACACACACTCGAGTCCGGGTGGTTTCATGCTCGACATACTGTTTGATTTAACCACATTCGGCTTCGTCAGAGAATCATTCGATGCCATCGTTAACGGTATAACAAATGTAAGTTTAACGTGCAAATATGAAATTATATCGCGAGCGATGTCGAAATAATTGCCGTTAACGAACCGATATGCATTTTTGATACCGCAGAGCATCGTACGTGCCCACAACGCCGTCGTCCCAGGAAGAATCTTTATCGCTCACGGTCAAGTTTTAGACGCCAATATCAATAGAAGTCCGCAAGCCTATTACAACAATCCGCAATCAGAAAGAGATAAGTACGTGATGATAAAACATATCAGTTTTTTTTTTTTTCAATGTTATTATTTAGCAACAATGTTTATTAGAAATATATCTTGTGAAAAAGGGAGAGAGAGAGGAGAGTGTGGGAAGAAGACAATAAATCATCATGTTCTCAAATAAGACGAACAATCGAGCGTGTAATTGCTTATTAAGGAGATTGCGGCGCGCATGTGCATACATACCGAATATTCACGGAAAATCCATTAATTCTCGGAATATATACGGGACAACGTGTTCACCATTTCCTGTTACACAGTGTAAGACACATATGTCGACGTGTTCACAAGCATTTCCCTCTCCTACCTCCTCCTCCGTGCAACCACCATTATACATGTTCTCGGAAATCCCAACATGTGGACGGCGCGTTTATTCAGTGTGAACAGAAATCGCTTTATAATTGACCTTTATAATTTGACTTTTCGACAATTTGAAAAGAAAACAAACAACTTTGTTTCAATGATTCTCATTTGTGACAAACAAAACGCGCTCGATATGCTTTTAATATGCCTTTAATATGCTTTTTTTTTCTTAATTTCAGATACGAACACGATGTGGACAAGACACTGACGCAGATGCAATTTATCGGAGCCGACGATAAACCTCTGGGCGCTATAAATTGGTTTGCCGTGCATCCCACCAGCATGAACAATACAAATCACTTGGTGTCCAGCGACAATGTGGGCTACGCCTCGATTCTCTTCGAGAAAATGATGAACAAAGATGCCTTAGTTGGCAAGGTAGGTATTTCGCTAAATACGAATGTGTGTGTGTGTGTGTGTGTGGTCTCGTTAAATTATTACATCCCACAGAAATAATACAAGCAGCGACAAATACGCGGCGCTCTGTTTCTATATTTGAGGGTACGGCGTGCGATGTCAGATACACAATGAAGAGAAGAGATTAAATAAATCCGTCGCATCTCCAGAGGCAACAATTGTGGAAATTAAGCGCACGAGGGTTTCCACATTTAAATAAATTACCTCAAATGTTGCACATCGCGTGCAGACGGTTTCACGAGAGCGCCTGTCCTTCTGTGTTCTGGACGTGCACAGAAGATCGCGTGTGCCCGCTCGTCATTATCTCTTTTTCCCTTTCGAGCTAAATCCATTTGGCCTTTCCGTTTCACAACAACATGGTAATATTGCTGCACATAACCGCCTTTTTTTTTTTTTTACCGCACAACACTATTAATTCCTAACTGCCGCATTGCGATAACAACGTGTGCAGTTATATCAGAACCAGCGGTCATCGTATATCAGTGGTTAATAATACAGTTCGTAATTCTTGACTGCAGACTGTGAAATAGCTAATGCGAGCTAATGCGGTCTACTTCGTAAAAACGGATTAAAACGTGATTACACGTTGATCTCGTTACACGGAAGCAAAATGCGAAACGCCTTTTGCTTCTATAAACGTAAGAGATCTTGTCTTCGAATAATTAATGATTAACACAAGTTTATTGTATTGTTTACTGAAAATAAACTGCACCCCATTGTGCGGTTCAATGAAACTCTAAACTCTATTTATGACAACGGCGCGTTTTATCTTTCCACGGTTTGCTTTAACTTTCAATATTTTATATTGGAATTTTCTTGAAAATTTTATATGTATTTAAAACGGTGTGTTACGAAAATTAATAGAATTTAAGAAACTCTTAATAGTGTGAGTAACGTAAATTTAAGATAAATATAATATTCGCGTTGACAAAAGAGAATAAAAAATTAAATCTTTCCTCTTGTGAACCAGGGCTCGTTCGTGGCGGCTTTTGCCTCGACCAATCTGGGCGACGTCTCGCCGAACATACGTGGTCCGAAGTGTGAGTTCACCGGTAAAAACTGCTCCGATCAGTACACATGTCCCGGAAAAAATGAAATGTGTTTCGCCTCCGGTCCCGGCAAGGACATATTCGAGAGCACGAGCATCATCGCTCATAAGATTTACAAGGAGGCGGCGGTAAGTTGCGCTTATATTTCTTGCTATTTTTATCCTCGCAGTTTTCAACGTTTCTCTTTCTTCGTGTAACTTGTAAGTGTAACAATAAAACATTGTACAAGCAATGTTTTATTGTTACACTTACAATGCGCGCAATTTTCTTACATCGGACTTCCTGATGAGATTAACATCCGCTCGAAAAAGCCGGTCGACAAAAACTTCGATTTCTCTGTTTGCTTACACATGAACCAGCCAAAAGTGTATGTTAATTAATTAATTGAATGTGAAAATCGGATTACGCTGCCGCATTGTTGTGCAAAAATGAAATAAGTGAAAAGCGGAGAATTTCATGGTCTTGGCACCGCGCGCAAGTTCAAGTGCTACGACCAAGCGGCATTGAGGAAGAAATTGAACGCGTTATTATACCGCAAATTGGGAACCGCGTTCTCATTTTGTTGATGTGTGTATTGTTAATTACAATACTACGTGTGTTCTTTTTGTCAGCAAAATCACCGACGTGTCAAGATGATTATCAAGCTGAGTTGAATAACTCGTTTGCGCGCGTAGGGCGATTTAAGAGAGTGCGATTCGTTAATTAAAGAATGAGCGCACAATGCGCGTTTGTACGCATCGCGAAACATTCGCAGTTGTATCTAAAAACTGAAAGTTTTCTACATATATACGTATACATATATATATTGCTTCGTTACAATTACAACTCAATTATAACAATATCAGATATTTTAATTAAAGCGCGACTTGTTTGCATATTTTTTAATGTTTGAATCAATAAACCGATAATTAAGCATTTGGCTAATAATTTAATCTGGAAAATAGTGCAAAATTTTAAACAATCTAAAAAAATGTAAAAAAATGATCGATTATTAAATTATTTAAAATATTTTTAATTTACGATATTTTTTATCCCGTGTTGTAGAATGCGATTTTCTTAATACACTGCAAGAGAAGAGTTTGTTAAAATTCTACTGATCGATTGTAAAAGAATTTTCATAAAAAAGATATTGCGAGCACATTTAAGCGTGCGAAATTTTTTTTCAGCTTTTAACTAAAAATTAAACGCTAAGTTGATAATAGAATTTCATGTCTCTGAATTGTTCTGAAATTCTAACGACTATTTGTTTTCTTCGGAACTACAATGATGCATTGTAACATTAATCAGTGGGAGAAATCAGAGAACTGCTCGGCAGTTCAATGAAACTTCTTTGAGAGATCATATGTTATTTCGTTATCGTCAACTTCCTCTTCGTTGAATAGGTGAATGACGTCGATTTAGCTTGGAAACTCAATATTCGTGAGAAGACGTTATCTTCGCGATATTCTGCATTATACATTGTATGTCAACAAAATAAAAGACACGAAACAATAATACTTCATCATTTATGTTTTTCGATGTTGTTTTTATACAAAATCAGTTTTTTATAACGACGTAATTATTATTATTTGTCATGTTGTCAATTCTTTTTCACACAATTTTATTTATGCACACGTGGGTACAAAAACCTTAATATCTACTTTTCTTACAATACAATCCGTTAACTCGATTCGATCGTTTCTAAATACACGTGCAATTTTCTCTTCCCGCTTTCTTCCAATTTAATTTATCGCGATAAACTTTTTTTTTTCGTCTCTCCGTAACTGAGGCTTTCAATTTGTAAAACTACATGTACGCGCGTCTATTGCACAAGGATCGCAAGAATTCTCAAACAGTTAGATCACCGTGACACTTTTTACGAGAGAGACGGCAGGTCTCATATTTGCATATACCGTTTTCGTAATCGTTTTTCAATTCACGGCACATACACGCTACTTGCTGGAATAAAAATTGGGGCAATTCTCAATGTTCTCTCGAAATTTATGTTATTACGCCGCAGTCACACGCTGTATGAGATATAAATCGATAGCTCCGACATGCGCAGTTTCAACGAAATTCCAATTCTGTCGAAGTGGTTGCTCTTTTTTTTTTTTTTAAGGAAATACACGAGGCACCTTTGTACGATTTTCGCGATTCATTCATTTAATAGAGTGTAAAATAAATTAAAAGGACTACTTCTGTAATCTGTCTGTGGAAGTAATCGATTCTCGCGCGCTGCTGTCAGGTGCAATCAAGCGCTTCGAAATAGGGCGTCAGCGCAATAATACATCGAAATTAACAATAAGAATGAAAATACTTTTTATTTCAATTTATAGAAAAATAAGATCAGAGGTTTTATACATATTAGGAAACAAAATCAATACTTTGATACAATGTGATAATGACGAAACGTACCTTCACACATTGCAGTTTATTGAAATCGATATCAAACGTCACATAAAATTAAAAAAAAAAAAACAAATATACTTTGTCACATCGACTAGCAGATCGATTAATGCCCTTTGAACGAAGCGCTCGATTTTCGATGCTATTTACACAAAATGGCTGAGGTCCTAGTAGTGCTTCTCGTAGTCGTAGCTGTTGTAATGCGCCGGCGAGACGTATTTGACGATCGGGACCGGCTTCGGAACCGGATGTATCGCCGGTCCGACTTTCTTCACGACGGCGTTGAACCCGTTGTGATCATCCGCCGTGTATTCGACGATACGCACGCTTCCGTCGGGCTCGTTCACGCTGTACGAACCGTGAACGACGTCGCCGTCACGCACCTCGTGCTGCGTCTTCACATCGCCGGTGTGGGGGTCGTGCACGCCATAATTGAAAGTGTATCTCGGATGCGACTGCAAGAACACGACACAGAATAACAGACATAAATCGCGTTGACGTTATTATAACCCGAGTTTGCAATGAGTTGGCGAGATTATCCGCGCACATGCTTGCGACACACTTTAACTATTTAATATGCACATCACAGGCTCATGTTAGTCGGTGAGCTGCAGATTTATTATTTTGCATTCTGCCCTTACGCGGCTATCTGCCGCGGCAAATGTAGGATTTTGCGTGAACGTGCATATTAATCCCACGTGAAACAGAGGACCGCAAATTTCGGATCGGTAAAAAAAATATCTTGACATATCTTTAATTAATTTATACGAGGTCTCGTTTTTTTTCCAACTTTTTTCTCTCTCATTTGATTTTTTGTGTACTTATATACGTACGTAACGCGAGACGCGTTATCGTATGCAATCATCTTGTACATAGCGGCGCGCGATGTTTTCCTGTTGTGTGACGTTATACTCGCAGCGTCGGTTCTGGTGACAATTAACAACGCGAGAAAGCGACAACAATGAGCGTCGCGGAAAGAGAGGCGACAAATAAGATACGGCGAAAAAACGGAGGAAGCACCGTCGCCACTCTTCGCTGTTTGATGTGACGGGAATCTAAATTAACATATGCGGTTCAGACGGTTTGGTAACATCTTTCCGCTCATAAAAACACACGATCGGCGTCGCGTGGCGACTTAGAATATTTTAAGGGACATTTCAAAATCTAATATGATATAAACGTCGCTGGACAAAGAAGCAAGATAAAATGGTAGAAAACATTAAGTTGTGAGAGAAAACACAAATTTTTCTTTAAAGTATGTATTAAACAATTTTTTTAAGAAATTAAAAAAATGTTCTAGTTTGTTTCTCTAACTTCTCTGGAACAGATTTTACGCTCTTAAAAAGTGCTTGAAAACAAAATATCGCGACTCACATAGTAATCGTGATCCTCGTCGGTGTGGTGGTGGTTGTAGCCGTGCAGTCCGTGCGATGCATCCAAGTGCAACGGCGATGCGGACACCGAGTGCACCGGGACCGCGACCGTCGGCAGAACTTTGTATTCAGTGGATCCTACGTACTCGTCGAGATCGCCGTAATCGCTGTAGGGCGACGACAGGCCATGGCCGCTGTTGTAGCCGCTGAGAACAACCGCGTTGGCGCACGCAAACAACGCGGCGCAGAGGAAAGCTACCGTCTGAAAAGCACACAATCCGCGATCGTAAATCTCTGTGAGAAAGCGAGATCGTTAACGAATACGCGAAGTCGTGTCAAGGATATTTCGTCTTTTTTTTTTTTTTTTCTTCCCGTTAAAAAAAAAAAAAAAAAAAAATTTTTTTTTTTTTTTTTTTTTTTTCTTCCCGTTAAAAAAAAAAAAAAAAAAACAACTTTCTGAATATTTTTTTTTTCTCGGCGAATAGTTAGTTACACACGTGCGCGCCTATATTTTGCATATAAATGTCCGACAGATGCGAAAAACGTAGAAGAAAGCGATTTCGTTTTCTGTCACCGCGGGCAATTTTCATTAGTCACCCATCGATGCGAGATCATGATCGACGCCGCGATGAGAAGAGTCATCGAGAGACTGATGTATTGGGAAAGTTTCCGGAGAGACGCGCTTCTCGTGTTTCGATGTTTCGTTACGCCTTGATCGGGACGGAAGTCCTGTCGGCGAGTAACGCCGTCCTTTTTCACTTTCACGCCGACCTTCTTACACGCGGTCGTACGATAGATCGCACAAGTCAATACAACGTCGCGGAAGTGGTTAAGATTTCCTCGCTTCGTGATTCCCGTGCCGCGATGAAAATGATATATCGGGTAAAAGGTTCTATTACACCCTCGGCAAGAAATATTGGCGCCTGAGGCGTAACAGATGCGCGCGAATTCGGAAATTCTGAAGTGAACAATAAAGATTGCGAACAAACACAAAAACTTATTTTACTTTGATTTAAAATAAAATTTGTATACAATTTGACGTACGCGTGACAACTTTCATGACGTTTGATTATTGGAACAAATTGTTTTGTCTCTATAATGATGACATCCGAATCGGGAAAAGCCAATGAAAATGTTTGATCTCTCGACATGTAAAAAATAAAAATTGACAATAAAACAATATTTGTTTCAACCGATAAGTTCCTTTTTCGATATTAAAAAAACGAGTGCAAAAAAGAAAAGCGATCACGAACTCTCTTCTATATCAATTCACTCGGCTGGGTGAGAAATAAATCGGGGAGCTACATCTTCCGTTTTCTCGGCGGGAAAGCGCAGATTCTATCCGTTTGTTCCGCGTAACGTTCGACGCTGATATTGCAACAGGCTCCCCGATAGGCGGGAGAGAGAGAGAGAGAGAGAGAGAGAGAGAAAGAGAGATAAGGGAGATCCATTCAAATGATAAACGCGGCGCCGGAAGCGAGTTTCGAACACGGTCCGACAAAACGTGCAAACAATGCACGTACACACTCGCGCCGCAACCAACAAACCCAACCAGCCACTTCTCGATCATACAACACTCGTACACGTATTTCACACCTGGTCTTCTCTCTCTTTTCCTCTTTCTCTCTCTCTCTCTTTCTCTCTCTCTTTCTCTTTCTCTCTCACACACTCTCTTTTTCTGTACCTTCTGCATGATGTGTGTTTCCACGTTTCCGCTCACACCACGTTTACCGTAAATGCGGGACCGTCGAGCGCGAACTCACTGATAGCGTTATTCCCAGACGATGGGTTTATATTCATCTCCCACCTCAACGCGGATGGCTCCGTTCCGGGCAAAAGCTCTCCGGCCTCCACTTATGCCACCACTCTAAGAATCCGTCGTCATCTAGGTGTGCGCTACCCTGTCCTCTCCCTTCTATTTCTTTTTGTTGTGAGAAAATACCGCTCCTCCACGTGCTCACCTCCGCGGTGGCGCGCACTCGTGCGAAAATCCCAAAAGACACGTTCGAACTCCGTCGTCGTCGTCGTCACGCCCGATCGTGAGGACGGAAGGTCGAACAACAGAGTCGTTGCAAAGGTTACGAATATATATATATATATATATATTTATTGATCCTGGATAAATTGAACGGGTGAATGGAACACTAGGATCGCACCAGGTTTACGCTCATGGACGTCACTCGTGCGAATCCCGCTAGTTAGTCGTAAAAGATGCAGAGGATTGATTCGGCCGTCAAAGCCGATTATGTTGAAAGGATAGAAGGTAAACTGCTGGCGGATAAACATTATTTCTTGAGTTATTTGCGTCGCGAGTACGCGCGTGTGAGGATTACACAGACATAATTCACTCTGATGAATTTCCGGAGCCGCGGAAGAGACGGAACATGTAAACTTTCGAAAGGGCGAGTCGATCGAAAGGAAATTCGCGAGCGAATTAAATGATTCTTCTGATTCTTATCGCAAATTTGATCAGACGTAGTTTTAGTTCTCGTGAAACGTTTTGACAACAATCATTAAAAGTAATTATTTGATTTGATGTAGTTATTATAAGAATTCAATTATTGCGAATATAATTTATTGTTCTTTCCGATGAGATAAGTTAAAAAATCAACGAGCGAGTAAAGCACCTTTATGTAAAGCTATTTTATTATCGTTTCAATTCTAGCGTGAGAAAAAGTTTATACATCGAGCAAACAAAAGTTTTAAGAGATGCAATTTTACAACACGAGAAAAGTGTGATGAGATATTTCGCACAGAGAATTTTTATCAGACATGATCGAAATTTATAGCAAGTACTAACCTTGTTAATAACCTTGATAACAAGGTTTTTTGTTTTGGTTATACTTTCTCATTGCAATTACACATTTTTATATGTTCGCAAAGTACAACGTGTAAGGTCTAAATCGATTTGCTTGCGCATCATTGCTTGTAAGCGCGCCAAATATTACGCCATTGCATTTTCGCATAACTCTTACCTGCTCTCACTTCGCGCTCGCAACTTAATTAATATCATTCCCTTTTTTTTAAACGCGTGAAATCGTTCATGCATTTTTCTTCGCGAAGCGCGAACAAAACGAGCGCGCGTAAATAATTGCGCGGAGTTTACGCCGAATTCCGTTTCGGCCGCCGGATTAAAACGGCCTACGCATTGCGGAACTTCCTGAACGGAGGCGAAAAGAAGAGAGATTACGAAAAAACGTCTTGCCACCTGACTTGAGCGCGCGGAACACGTGTCTCTCTTTCTCTCTCACTCTCTCTCTTTCTGTCTCTCTCGATTACGAAAACGAGGCGAAAAATTTCACGTGATGTAATCTAACAGATGTAAGCAAGACGTAAATCATATTCCGAAATACTTATGTTACATTGCGTGTGTGAAAACGAAATACGAGTTTAAATTGACACGACGCGCTCGTTACACATAAGGCAAAATAAAAAGACGTAAATCTCGCGCGTGTTCTCATATCGAAACAAAAATAAATTCGCGCTGTTCGTTTCGAATTTTGTATCTCGTTTTTTTTTTCTCTCGATCGCAAAGCGAGAAATGGTTTACAGCGTTTGGCAATACGCGAATGTTCTTATTACGTGTACAAGGAACTGAATTCTCGAAGATGTCAACTATACGTTCGACAGAGGCGCGGTGGTGCAGCTTCTGTTCTTCCATTCTTCGCTTATGCAATTACCGACAAAGACCGTTTGTCTTCGCGAACGCGCAATGCTTATTTCTTTCGCGCGTGAAGCGTACCTACACATCATCGTCGTTCCGCGAAGCACGATCCGAGAGTCAGGCGCTGTTAAAAAAAAAAAAAAAAGGTCGGTTCCGCCCGAGCGATTAGCCGCACGATTTATCTGGATCAAGATCGCGAGCGACGAGACAAAACCTTTTTCGATCTTATACAATTAGCCCAAATTCTTTTGTCGCGCATTTTACGCAAGACAACTTACTTCTACGTTCAATGTTTCTCCTTGATTGCGTGACCATTATTTTCGTGCGACATGTTGAAATCGATTGCTTTATGATAAAACGCACACAAGCGCACGCTCTTGTGCTGATTGCGCGCGCGATCGTTATTTAATAAGTTTGATCGATCATTTGAAAGATTCGTAATGTATTAGTTTTTTTTTTGTTTTTTTTTTTGTTCTAATAGAATCTTTTTTTTGCGATACAATATCAAGTTTGTTTTGACATTTAAAAAAAAAACACCGTAAGCAAAAACAGAATAAAATATTTCACTTCCTTTGGTTAAGACGAACAGTTGTTATGTTTGTCCAAAATGGTCCGTGTTATCCGATCCGCTTGCCGTTCAACACGCAGACAGGATCATCTACGTAATCTGCGCGAAGTCGCTCGTCACGCTCGCAAATATTTCGCAACTCGCGAGGCGTCGAATCGCGCGCGCTATATATTTTAGAAAGAAATTTAATAAGACGGCTCTAATATAATGGAGCTAATAGAAGCGCGCTTCTTTTTCACCCAATGACATTGTCTGCTGAAGGCATAATATAATAGAGGACTGCTCGCTTCCGCGGACGATTTCGTTAACCATCGAGATATTGCCGCTTTCTTTCGACGTTCCGAGCCAGCCCGTTTCTTACGCAGTTGCTTATTACTTGGCTACGACTGTGGCAACGTGGTGGTTTCATAAGGGAATCTGGTGCCACGCTGAATTAAGTTCGGTCGTCTACTCTCGAATCTCTTTTTTTTTTTTTTTTTTTTTTGAGAGGACGCAGTGACAACGACAATGGCTCGATGACGGCTCCAAGGATCGTCGCATGTTTTTATAGATAATTTAGTCTAAGCGGTTTACTTTGCGCGCGGTTTATACTACTTGAGAGATAAGTGAAACCGTGTCTGTGTGTGGAGTGCAATGGTAAGAGGTGCGCTCTCTTTTTTTTTTTTTTACGACGAGGAAATTTCTTCGAGCAGTTTAAAGATCACGAATTTGATGAAGAAATAGAAAAGAAACTTAAGACACATATTTTAATATCTAATTAATAGTTTTATCAATATATATATATATATATATATTTGTTTATATTTATGTGAGTAAACAAATATCGTCATGCGATTAACAAAACTGGTTGTTTTTCAATTAATTTCGCAAAAAGTAGCGTCGAAGAAAATAACGATGGTGCGTCGACGATATCAATCCGCTTGTCGTGCGATATGTGTCAGCATCCGCTCGTTAATCGAAGGTGAAGAATAATTACGTAATTGCGTGTCCTTCGTGGACAACTTTACTTTGGACAAAATAGGGCGTAACACTGCGGGTGACACGTAACAATACGCTTGTCATAAGGATCATAATGGCAAGAATAACAGGGGCACGATGTTCCTTTCTCATCGTCTAACTAAGTAGTTAACGACATTGTCTGCTCGCTCGCGCAAAACGCGCCTACTTTTCAGCGAGATTTGCGTTTGAAGAGGAAATTACTCTCTCCGTTAATGCTGGATAATTCTGTCCGCAACACGTAGCAATTTTATAATTGCGTTTAAACCGGTGTGTATGCATTATATTGATGAGTTTCTGTCAAGTTAGTCATGTTCGAGGACCAATTAAAATTGCATTTAGATTGCAGCGCTATTCAGAGGTTTTCGCCGGAGCGAAACAACCATCGCTGCCATTTAAACACGCAAAGCTTGCGTTACAATTTTAACTCAATCACACGTGCGCGTATGAATTATGTTTGTTTATCTGATAAAATAATTTTCTCACTACGCAGTTCGTGGATGTCCGCGATTTTTTAAGCTGAAAATTTCCCACGAACAGGCGGAAGGATTACGCAACATACATAACATTTTTACATTTTTTAAATGTTGAAGTTTTCAAACAAGAAAAAATTACGTATCAGTGTTACGTATTTTGTCACTTTTTTTCTAATGATTTTTCGTTAAACGTTACATACATACATTGTGTCTACATCTCGCGGTAACGATATATTTAACAGTTCGTTGCATCAAAACGCGTGTAGTATATTAGATCGGCGTTCGTGTTTGCAAATAATCCGCTGCAGAAAATCTGAACAAATGTCACTCTCGCGTGATTATCTCGTTGCTCTCACCAAATTCTTTTGTCTAAAAAAAAAAAAAAAACCAAAAAAAAATCCAGAAAAATGAAGCATCGTCACGCAACGTCATGCGATATAGCGCAAGACACGAATACACGCGTCGTCGTATTTTCGATGAAAGGATCGTCCATTATTCAACGAGTCTATTTTGTCATCGAACAAGTCTCTCTAACGTTCCATTCCGCAACATGGAAGAGAACCACAATCCGTCTTACGATTCTAATAACCGTGAAGTCGTGAGAGGTTCATTCGTGACCGTAATGTGAAAGAGGGTCGGCGGCAGATACGCTTGATGATGTAATGCGGAGCAGTGCATACTATGTATATATACAATATACATAATAAGAATGCGTATTACGATCCACAGCTGGAAAAAATAGACATTTTCAGGTGTGTTTGCATAAAGAAAGAAAAACAGAATTCATCAAATTTATATTTTTATCAACTGATCGTCTTATTCTTCTTTGCGTCTTACGTATCAAAATGTCATCTTAATTAAGACAGAGCAAAGAAAGAGGGGCGACAACTGGCCGCGACAGATAACGAGACCGAAATAAATCTCAGACTCGGTCGGATTAGTTCTCATCGTCAGTTCGACCGCCAACAAACATGAGAATTTAGTACTTTCTTATCCGTCGAGTCATCGACTAATTGGTCACGTATCGCGCAGTTAGGTATTATTCACTTTAATTATTCAGACGCGGCGGCGAGTAGAGAACGCGCGACGCTAATCTCCACATGTGGCCAATCCGAGCGGGACTTCCG